GAGGGAGAGGTCAAATGAGGAGAGTGCTCTCTTGGTGATAACATGCCTTCTACGACGGTTAGTAAGAATTGATCCTAAATGGAGTTGACCTACACCTACAGACACTATGCCCCGGGTACCAATCAGAGCCACTGGAGCTCCTAAGTGAACCATGGCACAAATTCCCACCCCCTTTTGGGGTATCTGTACAAAGAGACGATGTGCCCCGCAATACAGGCCCCCTCGAGCCCATGGCCCAATCAATATATGGTTATCATGGATCAGGCAACTGCACCAAGTCCTATTGATATTCCCCAAGAAGACAGGGGAACTGTAGTTGGTTGTGAAGTTAAAACAGGTGTAATTACATTGCCCTGCATTTGGTCTAAACCCCCCACCACTGTTTTATTATTAATGGGAGGGTATATAAATATGGTTTTAGTATATTTTTCCCACCATAGTATGGGAGCGACAACCAGCAAGGTAATTAATACGAAAACGCCCAAAATCCCCCTGCGTGGTGGGTACCGACCGTGCCAAACCATTTTAGCTTCTTCTGCTTGGGGCTACGCGAATAATTAAGTTCCCCTGAATATAAGCAGTCCTGATTTAAGTGAATATTTACCCAATGGTGTACAAAATAGTGGGAACGCGTGCTTGGCTCTTTCAGATTGTCTGCTATAAATCTCACTCTTCCCCTGTCACTTCCTACTGTAAAGATAAATGGTCCTACTCTCACCTTCCAAAAATATCTAGTTTCAGGTGTAAAATCAGTAACAAAGGGAAACCTTGGGGGTTGGAGTAATTGTCCAAAAATATCACACTTATCCCATGCAGTAATAAAACTTAATCCTAGTACTGGTGGTATATTAGTATAGGTACTACTGTCTCTGTATTGGATTATGTCTTGGGTGTAGAGGTCCTCGTCCTCCCACGGAACTAGATGGTAAGGGCAGCTGTCACTGCTCATGTAGTCTGCCACCAGCTTGTCTGCTTCTTCTCCTGGTCTTCTCTTCAACACAACAGGGTAGACTGCCTGTGTGTCACACAGGTAAGGGGATTATTCTGCCCCTTCTCTCGCCTGTTTAAGGTCTAACTGGACTTCTATCAAAAGGTCTCGTCGGTGCCTCCGCAGGGGCACACTGGCTCCAGTGATACCACGTCTCTCTCTTACTCTGCAGGCAGACTGCGTGCGACGTCCTTTCAGTCACCTTGTAGGGCCCAGTCCACCGTGGCTCACTCCAATTTCGTTTGATCACTCGTAACAGGACCCACTCAGCCGTGTGTGTATCAGTATGGGTGCCAGGCGACGTGGGGACAGTAGCTAGACTGGTGAAGCTGCGAACAAGAGATTTTAATTGTTCATATAATTGTTGGGTGTTGTGTGTGTCTGGCTTACCCGGTACCCATGTTAA